TATCTTTGAATTTCTGATACACGATTTGATACATAAGTAGGTACATAAGTTATTGGGATCTGATTTAATCCAGGCTAATGCAATTTTTGAATCGCACCAATAAAATGCTGAATCAATATGAATGCGTAATGAATGTTTGAGTTTATTCAGTAATTGTGCCTATAATAACGGGGCATTTAGTTCAAGTCTGGGTAAGGTACCTAACCTTTTCCAATGGAGCAATCCTTGATTTTGCAGAGAGAAGATTAATGATAAAGTTATGCTTATCCGTGGGTTTTAAATATATACAGCATCCATATGGCATATGCTCGTTCAGAAGCATCTGAAAATGCGTGTATTTCAATTCGAGTAGAGTTACAAATTAATCATGTCTAGGAATTCTGATATTCTGTGATGTAAATTAGTAGCGAAATGCATTCATTTTGAATAACCTTCCATAGGAACAGTTTCATCCCATGTTAGTTTTAACGACCATGAGTATTGCAAAATAAGTTTTGCAATAACAATAATTGGACCTAATAAACCTAATGGGTCGAAAAGTTGTGCTGTAGTCGTTAAAATTGTACGTTTTGTCATCTGATTAGAGCATTGAGTTGGATTAAATGAGTAACAATATACATCTAAACTGGGATTCCAATATACACCTAAAGTTTTATAAAATTTATTTACAATATTTACATTTTCTAATTTTACTGGATCACAAAGTTCTTGTACGTTATTGTGAAATTTTCGTAAGTTAAACCCTGCACTTGCTAGTATTTTGAATATGTTAGATTTTATTTCCTTAAGTTCACTTAAATTATTAGAGCCTGTTAAAAGATCGTCCATATAGAAATCATTTTTAATTAGAATAGCTTCTTGTGGATGTGAATGACAAAATAAATTTGATAAGTCCACTAAACATCTAGTGGCCAAATAAGGTGCAGATCTGGTACCGCGTATGTAACAGTATTTAATTCATAAGTAGCCAATGGCTCATTTACACTTTTACGCCAGAATATTCGTTGATATGAGCGTTCAGTAGGATGTATCCAAATTTGGCGATACATTTTTTCAATGTCCCCAGTAATTACATATGCATGTGTTCTGAATCGAGAAATGATTGAAAAGAGATCATCTTGAACTATGGGACCAGCATATTGAACGTCATTGAATGATATGCTATTTTTTCCCTTAGCTGAACCGTCAAATACTACCCTTAATTTTGTAGTGTGACTCGACTCTTTAATAACACAATGATGTGGCAAATAATTTGTACCAGAATCATATGAATTGGTAAATTGAGAATCAACTTTTGTCATATGGTTAAGTTTAATGTAGTCCTCCATAAAGTTTACACAATCATTATTATGTAATCTTTGTTCTAATAATTCAAAGCGCCTTTTTGCCATTTCATAAGTATCATTGAGTAATCTTAAATTTGATTTAAATGGAAACTTGACTATATATTTTCGATCACTCTATATTGTAAATATCACAAATATTCCATATTCAACCATTTTTCGCAACCTTCGTAATGGCGCATACATGTTCATCATCAGTGGGGTGCATAGGATTTTGAACAAGCATATATAAGTAGCAAGCTTTTTGTGTTCAACTTGTACACCGCATTTAAAGCCCCAAGGTCCTCCACACTGGTCGGATTTGGCTGAGTTAATGCTGCTCAAAAGTACAAAAGAGGCAAACTTTTTGGCAAATACATGAAACGATGAGGAAAAATTAATAAAAAATGAGATGTTCAACAGTCATTATTGGGCAACGAAAAAGGCTTACGTAAACAGACGCCAGTCGTCAATTTTGCGTTGGTTCCGTGTCGGTTTTTTTAGCCTGGTCACGATTACAGATAGGTATAAGAATGATAGATTGTGGCAGGTTGATGGAGAAGCGTGGAAGTCGATTCTATTTTCACCACGGCAACGATAGGAAAGGTAAGGTTTAGAAGAAGAATGGCTTCCTTAGTGTACAAGTCGTTCGTCAAAATTAGATCGCGAAAATCGTAAAAGTTCAGAATTGGGAAGAAGCGCAGCGTTTAGAGCGTCATTTACTTCATTAAAGGAAAATAATTTCAGGCGGGCCGTTATAAATGATCGCGTCGGCGTCGAGCGGAACAAAGAAAGTTGTACTGTTCATTCTATTTGGAGATTTGCGAAGTACTCGTTCATGTGAATTGTATTTGGTACGGTTTGCACGTTAATTATTCTAGGTAGATCCGATCAGTATTTGGAAATATTCGTACAAAAAACAATGCCGGCAAACTAAATTCTTTGTGACCGTAAGAACAATACATTTAAAGAAAACTGAGACTGGATGACTCATAAAATAACATTGCCAGTAAAAATCTCGACAAGTACCCCGAGGCAGCGCGTATAATTATTAACTTTGATCGACATTGCAAGTGCGAACCTATCTATTGATATTTTTGACCTGGTGGAAGGCCCAGACTGTTAGCCGTGCAAACTTGAGTCTACTTAATCTGCTATTTTTAACAAAGACGAAATTTATTGAGATCGACACCACATCCAACCGATAAGGATTAGAAGGTATTGTGACTTTTGATATATTTCGTTGTAATCTACAACTTGATCTAAAACATTTCGATTTTCTATTCACTTTAGAGAGAAGACTATAGCCTTTGCTATAATTCTTGATAGTATTATTGTTTATTGTTGCCTATTGGGGTATTAAAAATATTGCTAAAGGATATATTTTGAAGCAAAAAGGTTATACACACGCATTTGGACAATATAACATTAAATGTTTTATTACTACTATATGATGCAATAGAGTACCTACCAGTAAGTATAGGTACTGTCTATTATTTGCATATACTCAGGGTTAAGCATTTACGTTTTAAAAATAACGGTTTACGTGTTTACTGGTCGACAATAAGCACTTTAATATAGATGCAGATAATCCAGTACCTATGTGATGTTTCACCATAGGTTTGAAAATGTTACCTCCATGTTGGCTGCGCCAATGATGTTGGGTTTTCTTACTGACTTGTAGTTGCTTTGTCTATATAAAGACCTGTTATGTATTATGTGGCAAATAATTAGTGTGGTATTAGTATACCAAAAACTTAAATAGGGTAGGTAAATTTATGATAAGAAAAATTGGGAACGGTGTGCTCAGATTGATCGCCAATTTTAAATATCCCATAAAGATAAAAATTGATACGTTACCTGAATTACACCTTTAAATCAATACATACTGTCAAATGCAGTTAACATTGTCGTCTTCTTTAGTTATGATGCAAACGTTATACCTTACAATTTCAACAATATAAACAACTCCATGTAAAATTTGAATCCTCACAGAAAAATGTATTTTAAATCAATACACAATTTGAACGAATATTCGAATGACAAATTGAATTACAATTTATCCCAAAGTTTTACGCGCATATAAATACGATTTTTCAGAGAAACGCAAACCGAATTCAGTTTATGTAATATAGGTACGTTATCTTAAACAGCTGAAATAACTGTAACGTCACAGTGATTAAACAGCTCAAAATTTCCACAATCATTACAGAAAGGTTGAACAGCGACAAAGGCAGGATTATGACTACAAAAACCTCGTTCTAATCTTACATCCTTTTCACAGCAATCTTCAGTTCGAATGGCAAAACGCTTCATAATTAATATCAGTGCCCTCGGACATAAAGTGAAAGTAGGTTAACGTAAATTTCTCTTCTAAACTGGTTTATTGACGTTGAAAATTGTTTCGATCCGTTGATCAATAATTGTTGATGTGTATGGAAAAGCACTCTTGGAGAATATTCAACATTTTTTCCATTAAATATTGATCTCTGTAATAAATAAGAAAGTTGATATGGCGCATGCCCACATTAATCGTCAAGATTTTTCTTGGTTCGTATGCCAGAGCTGTAAGCTACCAAATACAAAAAACAACTCAATAATATAGTGAACAGTGTAAGAGTAGTTAAGGCCTCGGACGGGCGGAAAGACGAACGGACAGAGAACGTGTCTGCAATAGCGCACTCAGCTTAATCATAATAGTAGCTTTAGTAAATTAACCCTCTTTGGAAAATGCGCTAAAAATAAGAGGGATGCCATGAAATGAAAAATTCTTAATAATTCTAATGAATAAACTAGAAAACCGAACGAATTTAGAGTTAAAAGGATCACGTCTATGGTTCGTGAGGAAATAAATACAATGCAGGGACATTTTCCCATAAAAGTCTATTTAAATTGTGCGACCCCTGTAATCGCGTTGTGTCATTGTGTAAAGATATACAATGGTAGTATAACACGAGCAGTACGTCAGTAACAGCCTAAATGTGTTTCGTTTTACATTTTTTTGCATTAACAACATTAGGTGTAAATGAAACACTGCTCAACGTATGACACAGGGCACAAACGTGTAAATGGGTCAAACCTTTTGTAATTAAAAAAATGTACTTGAATCACAAAAAAAATGTACAAATTGGTACCTACCTACCATAGTTTTTACAATACAAAGTGCTCCAGTGCCTTCACATAAAATTATGACGGATTGCTGGGTCTCTTGACTAAATTGCTGTCGGCTCGGAAAAGTGCTCGCACAATTCCTTATACTTAATACAAAGTTACCTCCAGAACCACGGTGGATTTAAATTGAGGTAACGATGCCAAATTTAAAGACTGTAAAATATAAACATTTTTGGATTTCATTGTTCAATTGAATAAACTACTGGAGTAGAATTGGACCGGTTATTAGAACATTTATATCGGCCGGATACGTGTTTTAGTTTGGATTAGAGCTTTTTGTTCTAAGCTACGTAAATCAAATCGTGGTCCGCATTAGGTTCACGCACGAGGCCGGAAGTTGAAGCCATTTTGGTTGTGGAGGATTCTCGTCGGTCATTTTGTATGACGCTTTTTGATCGCGCATTCCTCACATACCTTCAAAGAAAGAGGTCTTCACTAGTATTGTATCATTCTCCTGCGTTGAATCATTAAATATTAATAAAAAAATTAATTAAAGTATACCACCACTTTGTATAAATATTCCACAGTTTCTAAATCCCAATATGCTTACACAACATTTACAGAGTAATACAATGAGCAGCATAAATCACAATATGTAACAGCGCAACGGTAGGTGACCCAATTTAATCAATAGCCAATCTCCTAAATGATCCATCAACCCCAAACTCACGGGCAGCGTTTTTCGATTTATCGAGACGAAGATTCTCATTGGACTTATATTTGGCCCCATTGGGAAACCAGCCGCTATAAGATTCTATCTTCTTTTTCCAAATCACTAAAGAAGTCCATAGATGTAACAAGAGGATTGGAAGTGAATACTAACCTCCCAGTTCTTCAATTGATCCATTGTTTCCTCCGTACTCTTTTGGAAAAAACTCTAGTGGAATCTCCTTATGTATTTCTTTAAAGTTGCCATTGCTTCGGTAGACATGAAGCTGAAAAGGAAGTGGTTTCAAGCAGGTGCACTACATTAAGTAGGTGTCATCACATACCCGCTCCTTAAGTTTACCATTTAGACAAGCTTTAGGTAGCGATTGTAGTAGCCACTTCCAAGGCGGCTGGGCAATTTATAATGTGTATACCTTTAAGTCGTAGAGGGAAACCAACTTCCGAGCAGTAAACGTGCTTACTGATAGTACTCGGAGAAAACTGTAAGGCGTAGGTACTTTAGCGAACATCTCCCAAAATCTACGATGAAGTGAAGCCCTGATACAACAGTGTTAAGATCTTCAATCATTAATATCTAAAAGCATGTGACACGCTTTTATAATGGTTGTGTAGGTTACAACATCGGGATCGTAGCCATACCCAACGAAAAGAATTCTGGATCCGGAGGGGCCGACGGGATTTGGTAAAGGCACCATAGTGCTTCAACAATAACAAATGAAACATAATTCAGAGCATTCCTTTTACCTACCCGACATTTAAAAGCGCTTGTATATCAGGTAAAAAGGGATCGCGATTATCAAAAAATTCTGGAAGCAACGTAAGCGTGGAGTAGTAAGTCTCGAGTTTTTCCTTGGTCCGTTGAAGGCTGTATTTGGAACTTCTCAAAAATATTAAAAGCGAGTCGTCATCTGAAATAGATAGATGATATTGTGCCTTCGACAAAAAATACTAACCTTCTCGGATATTTAAATGGGGTTGTTTTTTTAACCAATCTCTAATGGTTTCCAAATCAATTTCTGTGCGGTTACGATCTTCGTTTAAATCTTCTTTTTTGCAACATTTCATTTCGTTCTTATAATCCATCGCGATGATCTCTACAACAGCAGGTACGTAGTCATAATGTATATGCCACATATAAATGGTCCAAGTTCCTCATTTAAATGCAAATAGCTAATAATCCACGGTCCGTTCGGTACGTAAAATACACTTTCTATGTTAAGTTCGGGTGTTTGGGACACTATAAAACAAGCAAATTTAAATATTTTTGCCATCCAAACTAAAACCTTGAATTTCAAGTTACCTTTTACCTTTATGAAACGATATGGTTTGAAAAATCAATATTATAAAAGCTATCATTAAATCGATGAACCCGAACCTGATATCACCGTTACAGTGCATTACTAATTTGTAGTTTATTTATTAAAAATTGTGCTAATAACACTGACCCCAATTATCTGTAATTATTGGCATGGATTGAAAAAGCATTAACCATGCAACAATGTAACAACTGAATATGCACTACTATACAGGGTCATTCTTGACGACCGTCAGTTAGAAAGATATGGAGAACCTTTGAAAATGAAACTAAACTGGTAAGTCCTTTAAGGGTTTTGGCACATGATGAATTGAACTAAAATATTTTCAAGATGGCGCAACTTCCGCAAATACTGGAAGTAGCCATCAACTTTGTTATTTTAAATAGAGACCCCCTATTTTTTCTACATTTTCGGATTCTACGTCGAATTTGGAGTACAACGATACCCTATATCTTCCCTTTGCTCCAAGGGCTTCGTCGATATTCAAGTTTTTATGTCAAAAATTGAATTTGCAGGGGTAATTTTAAAAATGTATTATTCGAAAACGGTGAGCGATATTGCAAAACAGTTTTTACTGCTTTATTAGGAAAGATCGAATTTTCTTATGGTATGCGTAACCATCTAAAAAAGTAAGACTACGTCACTTTTTCAAAGCTTTAAACTTTTAAATTTTTAAATATCTGTAACACCATTTTTTCAAATGGCACCCCCCATTTTCCCTCACTGTTGTTTTCCTTTTTCCGACACCTTTAATTTGGTACAAAATGTCAAAGGCTGCTTCAAACGGTTTCCGAGATATTCCATGTTTTATTTACTTGTTGTAACAAATTGATATATTGGTATATTAAGTAACAAGGGATTAAAAAAAGTTTTTGTTCCTGAGAGGGAACAAAAACTAGTTTAATCCAGTGTTGCTTATACTATTTTTTCCAATACCGACCGATTTAAATCCATTTTTCCATGAATTGTTCACAAAAAACAAAAACAAAAACTTTTTTAATCCCTAGGGATTAAAATTATCTGTTAATGCACAAAAATTAGGAATTAAATTCAATCAAACAATGTAGGTATTGGAAAATAGTATATTATATACCAAGGGACTAAAGTGTGTGTTTTAATCTCGAGGGTGCAGCACCCGAGGGATTAGGGCGCACTTTAGTCCTGTGGTATATACTCTATGTTTTGAAGTCCGGTAATCAGCTACGGCAATTTCAATGTTAAAGTGCAAATTTGAAAGAAAAAATTTGATTGATTGTAGGATCAATATATCTGGTAATGTCAAATTGTGACCGTATAAAGATAAATGTCAGTTTGATTTAAAGATTCTAGTTTAAAACTACGGCGTGCAAATAATCGTTTAAAACTCTGAAGAACAAGCTATAAGGAAACCTACTGCCTTCCAAATTCAAAAAGATATATGGAAAACGGTATAATAAGTGTAAAATATGGTGCAAGAATAAATATGTACAATACAGGTATAACCATTAATCATTAAATTGTGTTTGACAATTCAGTTTGTACTGTCATTTTTTTTCCCGCGTCGCGTTTTTCTCCCTCCGGATACTTTAGTCCCTTAAATGAATGACAAAACACGTAAATTTAGTCCACGGAGTACAAAAAACAAATTAAGTCTCTTTGAATATCATTAAGCGATGTATTTGGATTTGCAGCAAAATAAGCCATAATAGTTATTTCTTGTTCTTCAGAGTCTACCACAGGCTTTCATGTTTGTATTTTTGTTTGAAACATTCCGTTATTCCTGCAATTTTTGTAACAATTTGCGAATACGAGCCATTATTGACTATAAAAGTTTAACACTTAATTTTTTTATATTTCACTAACATATCATAGCACATTTTATATCTGTGATACGCGGGCATAAAGTACCACTTTATGCCCTAGGGCATTAAGTATCACCATAGTAACTAATTTATACTTAATCATAATGACATAACAAACATAAATATTTGCAGGTCATTGAAAATTAGAAACGTCAATTATTGATTGTCAATACCTACTAAATCACAAGATTGGCCTTATTTCGAATAGTTTCTGGAACTTCTTCCTCATTCACGATGAATGGAATTATTTAAAATTACGTTTGACGTTTGGATGGTTTCAATAACAAATTCGAACCACGCATACTTGATCAAACGTAATAAATTATTTTGTAAACGAATATTTACTTTGACGAAGATAACTATTTGTAAGATATAAAATTTTGAATGTACCACGGGCATAAACATCACTATTATGCCCTTAATACATAAATCTGCTACAAGAAGTGACTAAAACATGGAGTATCTCGGAAACCGTTTGAAGCTGCCTTTGACATTTTGCATCAAATTAAAGGTCTCGGAAAAGGAAAACAACAGTGAAGAAAAAATAGGGGGTGCCATTTGAAAAAATGGTGTTACAGATATTTAAAAATTTAAAAGTTGAGAGCTTTGAAAAAGTGACGTAGTCTCACTTTTTTAGACGGTTACGCATACCATAAAAAAATGTGATCTTCCCTTAATAAAGCAGTGAAAACTGTTTTGCAATATCTCTCACCGTTTTCGAATAATAAATTTTCAAAATTACCCCTGCAAATTCAATTTTTGACATAAACACTTGAATATCGACGAAGCCCTAGGAGCAAAGGGTCAACTATGGGGGTAGGTATCGTTGTACTCCAAATTCGACGTAAAATCCGAAAATGTAGAAAAAATAGGTGGTCCCTATTTAAAATAACAAAGTTGATGGCTACTTCGGTATTTGCGGAAGTGGCGCCATCTTGAAAATATTTTAGTTCAATTCATCATATCAGTTTAGTGTCATTTTCAAAGGTTCTCTATATCTTTCTAACTGACGCTCGTCAAAAAGACAAGAATTACTGCCAGAACATTACAATAGTCTAGTATGCGGAGCAGTCAGAAGGGCCGATACCTGCAAAAGGTGGTGTAAACCCATTTGGGTCCAAATATCATGTATTTGAAGAGTGCACCTGCACAGCCATTTTTTCCGGCCCAACTTTTGGCAGCCAAAAAACCTCAAAATGTTCGAACTTTTTTCAGTTTTTCGCTTCAAATTCGAAAAATTATTACATGCGATCAAAGAAATCCCCGTCAAATCCTGGAGATCCACGGAAATCCCTGAAATCGGATAAAATTCCTTATAAATCCTCAGAAATCCTTTCGAAATCTTAAATTGTTCCCCATACTTGCTTGACACTCCATTCCAATACTTTACTACCGCCGTTTCCATATAGAAAAACCTACGCTTCCTCATACCTTCTCACAGACATTATAAATTAATAACAAGATTTGCGATTGTTATATTTCAAATACTGCGTGGAAATATGCGAGTAAAACAATTAGAAGCTAAAGTTTATTTTTGAACGAGCCAAAGGAAGTTACTTCAGTGACAAAGTGCAATTGGATAAGGTAGACGGAAAGTCAGATTTTGACTTTATCCATGTGAGAATGAAAATCAATTTAGAACACAACCTCATTGGTTAAAAAATTGTAGTTCACATATCACATGTCATATTTTATCAGGAACGACTTCATTCCGTACGGCAAAACAATTATTAAAAGGTAAAAGTGACCGCACGTGCAGGTAAGCGCATCAGGTGATACCTACCTGCTTACGTTACTGCCCCTCCATCAAAATATAACTTATGACCAAATCATTCGATCGTGTTAACGCGAAGTGAAGTGCATCTTGTGGGGAATGGTCCCCAAAAATGTCAAATGGTTCGATGGAGAGTGCCTAGTACCGAAAGGAAGGAAACTAAGGGCATGGGCATACATTATATCTGTGGTAAGGGTGAGTTTTGACAAGCACAGATTAGGTACCGTGTAAAATGCCGTAAGTAATTTGGATTTTTACATTTAAACATTGGGCATACAATGCAAAATGATTTTGGAGTTGGAATAGGTTAAGGGTGGCTAAATATTGTGTATGGAAATTTACCTCAACACATGTAACTGTCGTTAGTTTCAATCAATTATTTTCCAAATCAAAAACTTATACACGACAATTACAATCATCTTATCTATCCCAGTCTAAAATTGGAAACACATGTGTAGTCCATTGCGTCGGCGGCGTCGGCATTTTAAACAGGTGTTTTGAAGTGGGTTGATAATTTCATTCTTAACAAAAACCACATTTGCCTTTTTTTAAAATAATAATTGTCGCAGAGTTTACTAATTTTGAATTAATTTGATACGAGCGGACCGAATATACCTCCTTCGCAAAATGAAATGTCTTGAAATCCAAACAAGCGACTCAAGATTATTGTGTTACCTCATGCCTAAAAACTGTACAAAAAGAGTGACTAGCAATTTCATTCTTTCTCTCTGTATTCATGTTAAATCCGGGTGCTTATTAGAAGCATCTAATTGGTCCAAAAATTCATTCAATACATCAACGTATTCACAAACTTCTTTAGAACGATTGAACTTGCGGCTACATCCAGGTTTCGGGCATGCCTTTTCTGATCTCTAAAATTCCTATCCAAGCAAGGGCTTTTTTGATCCACAAACGACGCCCCTAGGGATGTTGTAAAGCACATTAGAAATGCTGTAGAAAATTCGAATTCATTAGCACATTGCGTAAAGACGTGGTTTGGGGTAAGTACAACACCTAAAACGGGGATATTTTAATAGTCGAGGGCTATTTATCAAACCAAGCTTATTAAATTTTATATGAAAATTAACTAAAAATACTGTATTTGAAGCGTGTTAGTTAAGGAATTTCGGAAAGGAAATTATTAGGGTAGCAACGCAACCACAAACGATGTCATTTGGGAATAGAAGTTTTGGTGTGTTTTTTAAAGACAAGTAGCAAGGACCTTACAATTTAAAAATACGTAAATTGAAATTATGTAGAAGGTCCAAATCCATTAATAACTTGAGCAAAAGACATGGTTTTGGCAAGCATTACACCCAAAACAATGTTCTTACGAACTTTACAGTTTGGGGTTGCTGTTTTCATGACGCAGCACCTTACAATTTGTATGAAAATTAAATACACTTTCGACTGACCTTTATAGCCTAAACGTCACAAATTGTAGATAACAGGTATTCAAATGCCTCGGCAAACGCGATTTCGAAGTGTATCGAACAATATACAGGGTGACAATTTGAAAACTTACCACCCCCCATATCTTAGTAAATAAACGAGATATTTAAAAAAATCAAAATCCGTTTCGGTAATTCGGAGGGGAAATCACAATGACATAGTTGGCGACGCACCCCCTCACACCCCCTGCGCCCTAGCCACCCCAACTTTTAAATCTTAAATAGTGACTCCCCATGTGTGATACGTCATTGGAAAGCTCTGAAAAAATGCTTTCCAACCATACCAAATAGCATTACATTTAGGTTAGTAATTATCGTGCAAATCAAAAAATAAACATGGAAAATCGTATTTAACTTGAACTTCCAAAGCCGACTCGACAGCAACTCATTTTTGATCGCCAGTTATAATCTATTCTCAAATTCTTGTCGAACCTTTTCAAATGTTGGTTTTGCAATATTTCGACATTCTTGAATTATTCTCTGTCTTAGTTCGTCTATGTTCGCCGGTTGCGTTTTAAATACGATAGATTTCAAATGTATCATATTAGTTTATTTTTTTATTTGCACGATAATTACTAACCTAAATGTAATGCTATTTGGTATGGTTGAAAAGCATTTTTTCAGAGCTTTCCAACGACGTATCACACATGGGGGGTCACTATTTAAGATTTAAAAGTTGGGGTGACTGGGGCGCATTTACTAAGATATGGGGGGTGGTAAGTTTTCAAATTGTCACCCTGTATATGTTTTTTTTAAAGCAAAAAGTATTAGTTTTGTATTATTGAATGTTAAGAAAAAAATTTGTTCCTGTTGAGCCACTTTCCTGAAAATCAGTAGCGTCCGTCGTTATTGTCCAAAGTACCCGTATACCAAATTTCAACACGATCTGCCACAAAGAGTTATAGCGCGGACGGACGGACGGACGACAATACAAAACTATAAAGAATCTGAGGATCCTTAATAATAGTAGGTAATAGTAAATTCAAAAACATGATAATTAAACTGACAGAAAAGTAAGTAGGTAGTGTACACATGTATACGTATGCTCGAGCGGTACTTTATCTGTTTGCCAGATTGTTATAACCTATGAAAATGTCTGCCATAATAAATGTAAGCTAGAAATACTGTCAAGAATAACATATTTAAATTTCAGATTTACTGAAATATTTTTAAAATTAATTTTTTTTTCAATTTTGAGATGCGTCTGCCGTGACGTCACAACCGGCATAACTATCTGCCATCGTGATTTTCCAATAAAAGAAATGATATAATTCAAAATATGGCAATGGCCAGTTTTACTAAAATACTTTCGAATATGGTGTAATTTTTATGCCTGTTTCACCCGAGCGCCACTCAACCTACCTCGATCTGGCTAAGCTAGTCCCCCACTCATGAACAGTAAGTATAAGAGAGTATTTGAACAAAACTGAGGGTTTACTGAAATATGTTGGGTCTGCTTTTCACTGGCTCTTAGACTACAACTGCCACTTGGCCTCGGAAGTAGGAGCAGCATACTGAGAAAAGTGGTTAACCATGGAAACTTCCAAAATGTCGCACTCCTAGACGCCTCGTTCTAAACTATACCCAAAGGCACAGATATAGTAAATCTGTGCTAAAGATAAAAATACCACTTGTGCGGAATTTCAAATTAAGTTTATTAAGTATTTACATTAATTTGTCCATTGTATAAGTACAGCTCCGCAATTTCGGATTACGTGTTACGCAGCTAATATGTGCAACTAAATTATTTTGTACATATATTTTAAAGCCTCTGTGTGCTCATTAATGCCCGGAAATGTGTGTTTCGGACCTAATCGCTTCAAATCAGAGTACGAAATTTGGGACAACGTCTTGTATCCCGCCCTTTCAGCAATAATTTGTGATGGCGTAGCAGTAAAAACGGTTACTATGACACTAATGCCCACCGCCTTGCAAAGATCTTCCCTGAAATAATAATTATTATTAGGTATCATAATCACAGTATACAGTGATATTCATGTAGAAGTAGACATAGGGATTTCCTAAGTTTTCTGAAGGACGCCTAACTTTATGCAACCAAAATAACCACCTACAACAAACGAAGATCTGCCTGTCAGATTGATTAATTTGAATATGTTCGTTCGTGTGCGATGTAGGTATTCAACTAAAAAAAAGTTGATACTTCCAATTGGTATAGTGCCGGTCCCTATGTGTACTTCTACTGTAGAATAATACTATGCGATCAAAAATGAGTTGCTGCCGAGTCACCTTTGGATTTTTTGTTTACATGGAAAATCGTACGTAATTTGAACTTCCAAAGGTCACTTGACCGCCGCTAATTTTTGATCGCCCGTTATAATAGTGTTGTTGATAATAGAAAGTGCTTGAACTTGTACAAGTTAGATTTTACAGAACATTTTGCAACGTATTGCCAATAAACATATGTATAATATACATTTTATATTCACTTAGAAGAAAATGAAGACAAACTCTCTGATGTCAGACTACCTACATAGAATATGCAATGAGAAAATATGTATGGGGCTTAAAATATTCAAAAGCAATATTCATCATCATCATAACATCATCTGAGTTGTTCGCTGATGATGACAGCCTTATTGTAGAAACGGGTTCAATATTCTAATATATTACTGTGGTCTATTGATGTTTTTGTTTAATTTTTTATATGATTTATATGATTTTCCCCCGTACATAAATCTGGTGGAAAATGGGACACCTTGTAAAACTGTCTCTGTAATTGTTTACATACATACCTTGCTTTTAGAATCTCTAATCCTATGCCTTGTCCCCTAAATTCGTTGCTTACATATAAGCCCATAGCATTTAGACAGGCATTAACATTAAAAGTGTCGAAAACGTTCTTTATATTTGTAACTACCTCCATAGTTTCAAAAATTCTGCTAAGCGTATTCCCTTTGATCTAAACGAAGAGAAGTTTGTAAATATGAAACACACAGCGTAATTACCTCCACTATATTCTCATCGTCCTTTGTTTTAATGTGCGTAACATTCACACCTGCTATGATTGGTTTTCCCTTTGGGTCTGGATTTTCAGCGTAGCAAATCAAACCCAGCTTGTCTTTTAACATCTCCTTCAGAAACATACGCAAAGTGTTCATAGATTCGGAGTCACTTTCGAGTTCTGAAAAAGAAAGTAGTTTACAAATTTAGAATTTGAGATAGAGCTAAGAAGTTAACTTTTTTTTGCCCTACAGTGTAGGTCAACTCTAAAAAAAGTATAAGGTAAAGAATTTATCATTTATTTTAGAATCGTACAATTTGAAAAATTGAAAGAATGTGAATAATCGGAAGATTATGATTTTGAAAATGGTAATGAAGAAATTAAAGAAATAATTTCTTGATTGAAATAGGGACAAACTAACTTTAAATAAACAAGAAGCTGACATTTTAATTTTTCAAATCCAATTCTAGTGGGTCTTTAAATGGTAAAATATATGCAATACAACACTGCTTCAATTTCCTATAGGTTGACCTCTTTAAGAACGTGCAAATTTCATTCATCTTGCTGTTCTTTTTCGGCGACTACTCAAGTGAGACAATCCCCTCTTTGGTTTCACGGGCAACAAACACCCAATAGTTCTTTCTGGTAACGAAAATATACTGGCGCGCTGAATTAATTCGTCCTTGATTGCGACTAGCAACGCGATAACACAACGATAATATTTTTTATTCTTCTCAACTACACGATAATCCTCGTTTTGTGGTGTAAGTTCCAAAACAAATACGTTTAAATAATCCACTTAAATTTGTCGGCGTTTTTTAACGATAACACTCGTTTTTTTAAATTTTTGTTATAAGAAAAAACATCCGCTATCGCCATTTGGTTTTGTGATGACCGAAAAATAGCAACTTTTACACTGGCAACGCCCGTACTAACTTTATTGCAGCAAACGAATTTCTTCTAAAATAATTGAGCAGCGATTTCTTTCGCGTTTATTTTGGTTAGACTGGGAAAAGGTGTCGTGTGGTCGCGCTTGGGTGGAATTTGAATTTTTAATTAAATAATGATTAAATAACCGGGTTTGTGACTAATTCCTTATTCTTTAGTATATTGAAAGGGAAGCTAACAATATGCAGAAGTGAGATACAGAACGTCAGGTACAAATTAAAGTGTAATGGGGCCGATTAATGAAACGTTAAGCAAAATGGCGAATGGTCACGGAGATGTTGAGTACCTACCGCGCAGGCGTGTGGTGTGATGAGCGTGCGTCTTGTGCATCGAGATCAATAATGGCTGGTAACTTTTTGCTTTTTTGTGGAAATGGTGAGGATGATGTCTAGAAAGGAAGAAAGTCGAATGCATAGCGAACGAATGCTTTATGAAACACTGCGGAACGTGTCCCAGCACAGCCACCATTCATTCGCAGAACCGAGACCCAATGTAATCATGTTCGATTTAAGTAAAACAACTTCAACGGCAGGGAAACTATGGAATGGCTAGAAAAGGTGAACAACAGCGCAATACCTACTAGACAACTGGTCGGACGAAATTAAATTGGAAACTGCGAGAATCTACTTAGTGGTGGGTTGGTAGTAGTTGGTGCAATTGTCATTGACATGATTGCTTTTGTCGTTGAAATGCGAAAAATGCTGATTTGAATTGGAAAATTCCTGCCATCACGCTAAAATTGTTTAAATTAATTATCCAAGCGTCTTTACGCGAATGGGAAGGTGGCAGTATCCTTTTTAGGTTATGCCATATGTTTAATTATCTTTGTTTTACCTATATCGCAATCCGAAACCCATTTTTTTTTTATGTACCTTTCGTGCAACGAGCATTAACGACTCCTGTGGATGAAATACCCTTCTCTTATGAAATGCTAAATCAAAATTGTTGTTGCAATTATTGAAGTGATGTCTATGGATTCGGTAAAGATCTTCCAGCAGTAAACTGCACGAGAATGTCGAAAACTACCATAGAGATTGATGGGGTACGAGACGTGAGGTTCGCAGTACCCAATGAGGCGAAACCCATGGAGGTGGTAAATCGAACAAATCACTAAGAGAGCCCGAGTAACGAGTGAGAAACCCAGTGTGTTGGCAGCAAACGGAACCAATTTGATTCGAGCGGTCTGACAAGGGTTGTCAATAACTGCGCCAGTTATAAATCCTACCATTGACTAGGAGGCAATTAGACAAAAAAAAAGCTGTAGGATTTTTAAGGTGGTCGTGCTTGGTTTGAATCTGAATTTTTAGTTATTAATTAGTAAATAACCGGGTGTGTGGATAATTCCTGATCCTCTAGTTTCTTGAACGGCAGATTTTTCAGAGTAATCCCACCTCCTCCCCCCTTTCTTATTTAAATAATCAACGCCTTTTCCCATATGACATCTACTAATTAAATCAACAACTTTTTTTTAAGAGTAAATCTTATTGGAGGTACCCCACGAGTGAAAGCGATAGGCTGTTCTTATAAGAAACCTACAAATGGGAATTGTGCTTCATTTGCAATGTAACAATGTGGACGTTAATCTCATCGCTGGACAATTTTTCGCCCCAACTAATATAGTATTTACTCTGTTATCTGTGATTTAATCCCCCCGATTTTCGAAACCTATAAAATATAATGCAAATGACGCAGAAAAGAGGATCGTTAGTTAATTCCGCCCACTGTGTCCAGATTTATTCATGTAATTCCATTAATTGTGCTATTTCCTGGAAAATGTCTATGATTTATGATGTCTAAACGGCCAATGGTGGGTTTATACATGTTTATTAGTTCACTATAAAAAATCATTAAGAAATAGCCAATAGAAACAAAGATCTATTGTGCGTTGCTAACCAATGAAACCACCCTGAGTGAACTAATGGTAATGATTGTATAACCCGAGGTTTAACCCCACCATAACCCAACATTCGAAAAACAAAATAGAACCAAATCTAGAGTTACCGTTACGTGAATTGACGGAAACTGAAGTATTCCAGAAATCTCAAGAATTTGAAGAATCTCTGGAAGAATCCGAAGGGGTGTTACTGAAATAAGAGCATAATACCTACATTATTTAACTTGTTACTGTACTGTCAGGTGCGATGAATGGAAGACAACAAAACGAGAATTTCGGAAATTTTGAACTACGGTAATTTATTGTTCACAGGCTACGTGTTCAAAATGGTGTACCTACGTTGATGACTATACATAAAATTATCTCCCCATACCTGATTAAGGATAGAAACTTGTCATGTTATTTCAATTTGACTCATCTACGAACTAATTAAAGTAGCCGACCTAAGTGACAATCAAAACTGGAAAATCGCTGTTCATTTTGAGTTATCGTGCTAACAACAACAATTTAGATCCAGCTAGTGCTGAAGGTATCGCCCAATCAATTCTGTCACAAATATGTTTTCTAACGTGTTTATCATGGTGCTCGCGAGTAATTGCGATTTTCTAACTCGCCACAAATTATTCTGCTGCATAATTATATGTAGGTATCATAAACATACCTAAAATAAACTTTTCCACCTTGAGAAGGATTAATCACACGGTTGTTACTTACGTATTAATTACACAATGCTAATGTGATTTATTCAAAAATGAACCTGATGTACCTTCTAGACATTTTGCAATTATACGAACGTTACGTCCAAAAGGTTTCGAAGGGCTTGCGATTTTGTAAGGGAGACGCTTTAGAAATAATTATAAATTTGGAAAATTAAGCTGCCAATGGCTCGTAGTGGAAAAGAAGGCACTTACTGGAATATTTATTCAATGGCTCATCGTAAGGAAAACCACCCATCATGAACTCGACGGCGGCATCGAATTGATCTTCCGGAATATCCTGAACCCAAAATTTTGGAATGACACCATTTATTGGTCTGCGACCTTCGAATTTTTTGTAAATTGACGGATAAGGTGCGGAACTCGGTCTTTTCCATTTACAGTTTACCTCCTCCATTACACCCGCTAGCACTATATTTCGACACTAATCGCTTTTGTCTAGGTTTATCTAGATGAGAACGTGACTGTAGTCATCATTTAATGAGAATACACTTTTTTATCGGTTGCTATTACCAACTTATCATTATTCAGTAACCACATATTTGAAAAAACTCATGACGTTTTCACCTGATAACGTGAACAATGTTTTACTATTTGATTCAGTGGCACAGATTGTAAGATAGTAAGTATTTATTGCAATTATCCCAGAAGAACAAACAAATTCGTTTGGCCCTTCTGAAGCAAAATTGAGATTTCTTTAGAATCTTTGTGGGCGAACTGATTCATTCGGCTTATTTTCCTATAGCACAGATTAAGTTACGTCTCTGAGTTGAGGCTTATCTATTACCTACCTAATGTTGTTACATAAGGTGTAACGTCATAAACATTTTGCTTCACAAAGTTAGTAAATCATTAAAATTAAATTTCCATCAGAGGCGCGTACTCCGTATACATAAATATGTATGCTGGTGTTACATTGATAAGCGGTTAGTTCTCAAGGACACGTGATGATATTGAATAAGATAAGTTAAGGTCAAATTATTTATAATTTTTTATGACTTATCTACGAACCGAACGATTACTCTGGAATACTGCCTGTTAGAAATGTTAGGAATTAAAAATGCTACAATTGGATGATGTAGCAATTTTTACGTATTTCCATAAAATTGCAGAAATTCGTTTTTGATTTTTAGCTTGAATTATTTCAAAATTAAGTCTTCTAAACTGATCACACTTCTAGAATGTACTAATAATACGTAATTAAAGAAAACTGGAAAAGGGGAAGGACTAATTTTAATTGGGGTGGTAATAAGGGGGTTGATTGCGCTGATTTTTTCGCTGAAAAAAGTACGGATCTACCTTGTTTTCATCGTAACTCACTTAATTTTTATGCTAAAGTTTGTTTTTAAAAAATAGAAGAAAAGTTTTTTTAAAATACCTACTTTAAAGAATATTCTACAAGTTTTTCTCGAAAAATGCCTAGTTTTGCCGTTATTTGACTGTGAAACTCTCTAATTTAGCGTTTGACGAACAATAGCCGACTCGGTTCGTATTGATCACACATCAATTATTAAACCATTTTCTTAATTTTTTTAAAAGCTACGATTTGGTTCTCCACAGTATGAAAAACTCATACCTTCGGTCGCGAATAACTGGAGAAGTATTAACTTTCTGAAAAAAATGTATGGAACACTTTTTTCTTAGAATAAAATGTTTCTATCTATCCATTTGTTAAAATTACAATAAAAAATTACCAAGGAAGGAATTTTTTCTGGCTTTATTACTAAACAAGTTGGAAAGTACCTGTGTGTACCGTTGAAGATGCTTCTTGCAAATGGAATTATTGGTAGAAACGCACGGCAAGGAATAAATCGCGGTTACGCAGAGTCAACTTTTTTATTTATAGACGAATTTTTTGAAAATTTTTACAGAAGGTGGTATCGCAAATAATATTAAAAAAATTGCTCATGCACAAATTCAACTATCTTGTTTGTGGACCAATTTTTCTGAAATTTTAACAGGAGATCCCGCCCAATATTTATTTAATTTTGGCCCTTGGTCTACATTTGAATGCCAAATACTGCTAAAAAAAAATGGCAAAATAACAGTTTGTCATCATTTTGGTTAAACGGCTGAAAACGAATTTGGCTAGAGTAGATAACTAATTTTTTCGTACGAGGATTTGAAATTTGAAAAGCTATTACCGTTGAGTGAAGGATCTAGGTAGAGTGGTAATGCCTATATGAAAAGCGGTCATCCTTTCCGATCTTTTACTAAGGTAGTCCCTTCTCTATTTCACATCGCGTCTCTGCCCCTCCGAGTCCACGTTTTGCAACACCGACAGCTAACGCCACCGACAATTTCGACGGCGCTTTCCTTCTTTACAATTTACAAGTATTCAGTATTTTCGCCCAGCCGCCCTCTCCAACGAAATCAGTCTTTAGCGTAACTCCAATTGCAACTATCGAAAACCGTTGTAACACACGTAAACAAAATGAGTCATTCTATTTTCATGCAATGTATACCTGCAAAATATCAGTCCCTTATCATAATTATTGGATCAGATACCTAATTAAGAGCAGTTCTAAAAGCAGCAGGTACGTACGGACGAAATTCAAAAAAGTATACCTACCTAATCACAAAGAAAAGTATCTCATATCATTTATGTTTATGTATTTTGCGATTGTGCGAGTAAAGTAGGTATTATTTAGAAATTTAAAGAAACTTATCCCATCACTATGTTTATTGCTGATGTAGCAATTTGCATAAACGCAAATATGATTTGCAACACTCATCCTACAATTTTAGCACACTACCGACTTATTTTAAACCGATAACGCTAGGTATAGGTACTCTCTCGCAATTAACGTGACAATTTGAAAAAAAGACGGTACCTACTGAATTTTATAATGATAAGTACCTGTGACTATGTATATTATCATTTATTTTATGTGTTTCTCTTTATCATAACCGGGAAGGTCAAAGACAACTTGTTTAATTGGCGAATCTGCTGGTAACTTTATCTAGCTATTCTGCTATCATGATTAAAGGCTTGCTTTTGATGCGGCCGTTTGTTTTATATAGAATATACCTAGATATAAAATGTGCATTATAATACTTTTAAATAATATGTTTCGGTCACCGTAAACATACTGTTTCGATCATCGATCACAAATTAATTTTACAAGGGCCACATGCAGCCTCTGATACGGACCTACCGTAACCGTATATTTCGCCTGTTGCCCTCGCTTTGCTCAACGCCGCTGTGCGCAAATTTAATAAAGCGATAATGTAATTGTAAGGTTAATATTGTGGTAGCGAAAATATGAAAATAAAATAATGCAATCCGGATCTGGATCGCCGACTTGGTTGTTGCCGTCGGGATCTGAGATCACTCTTGGCCGCCTATATCTCAAACCCCACGTTCACTATACTTTTAACATAAGCATTGCCTCTCTACCTAGATCCTTCACTCAACGCTATTACTGATTTTCTTTATATTCTATTCAAATAGCGCCTCACCGCTTTGTTGTCCGCAACCAACATTGCATTTTGGCACACGCTAAATGATAGATATTTACAAACTTCATTAGGCTCATTTGATAGAGATTTTTTTTCTCTTTTCGATGATGTAACCCTAATACAATAAAATTTTTTTAAAAATATATACATATAATATAAATATGTATATAATTATTATAAAACAAATGAATGTGTACCTTTCTATTAAACCTTGAAGACAACATGAAATGAGCAATAATTGCTGCAGCAATTTCTCCCAGAATACTCAGACATTCATTTCAAGCTTTCCGTGATAGGTTAAGTTCGCTGCCTTGCAGATAATCATAAAAGTATTTTGAACACTAATTGCGATGAAAACCAATTTATTGCTAATTTCATTTTATGTTCAAGGTTTTTAATAAGAAACGTACACGTTTTTTTGAAATTTCTTTCTTACAATAAGCTGATGGTATTTATCCAGAGAGAGGTCATCCTCAACATTTACTGCTGTCTAGATTCAACTTAAATTCACTGGAAGAAAGAAGAATTAAGTCTAACGTCACATTCCTGTATAATCTCTTTCATAACAAGATAGACTGTGGCGAGATACTAAAATTAATAAATTTATATGTACCATTTTATGCTTCACGGTCGTCTACCAAATTTTATTGCTCTAAACCGAACACAAACATATTGGCTGCTTCTCCTATTCATTTTATATGTGCAAATTTCAATAGAATATCAAATATGTGCGACATCCACTTCTCACCTCTAGATAGTATCTTATTAACTCTTAGGCACGAATAAAGTACTTGATTTTTAATTTCTTAATTTATATACTTAAAATTTTCTTTTTAATCATTTTTCTATAAATTCTACTATCATCTTTTTTTTCTTTTTTTTATATACCTATAATGCGCCTTACGTTTAGCTTTAGTTACGATGGCAGAATCGCATGATTTATACGTAATTATATTTCAGCATCCATTCCTTCAGATATCACTAATTAACAACGTAGTTCGGTTTCTGTACCACCATGCCACAAGATTTAAAAGCAAACAAAGTCCCCCCTTCCGGCCCATACTCCGCACGTCTCAATACTCTCATTCGGTTTCTTGTGCTTGACTGCGTCACACATATAGGTAGCAGCGTTGGTAAGTACTTATCGTCGGCCACGGCCGGCCTCCTCTCTAAAAATTGCAGCATTTAGCAATGGGTGGAAAACGAAAACTTCGCCAACGCATTGAGGAATTGGAAAGGAAGCTCGCCAAGCGCTGCTCTTCGAGAAGTAGGAGCCGGACTACGAAACGGTCGGGATCACGCCGTCGGCGTGGCCATGGGAGCTGTTCCTCCTCCAGGTCCTCCAGTGCCTGCACTTTGCAAACCCAAGACTCTTGTCGTAGCCGCTCCTCCCTACGCGGGCCGGCGTATATTGAGGCGGCAAGGAGACGTAATCGCAGCGTTTCTCGAGACCTGCCAGGTGTGTCGACCGTTACGCCTCGAGATGTCTACAGCCCGAGCGGCTTAGCTTCCTCAAAAAATAATTCGCCCCCGATTACCGCCGTCTACAGCCCGTGCGGCTTAGCTTCGGTAACTCGCTCACCTCCAGAACCCGGCGAGGACGACGTTCTCAGCCTGCACGGTGATTGCGATTTGTCCGATGACATCGTTCAAATCTTAGGGGGAGCACCTGAAAATACGAACACGGGCTCTAAGCTCCATGAAAAATTGTCAGCTATTTGGCAAACTATTCTACAAAATGGTCTTGGTTCGGAGGAGTTTTCACAATTATTGGGAAAACATATTAAGCCATCGAATTGTGAAAAACTTACGCCACCCGAAATAAATCAGCTGGTCGCACAGGTCATGACGAGCGGGCATAAAAACCGAGACCTTACGTTATCGAGTTCGCAGAACCAGTTAACGGCCGCGTTATCGGCGCTGGGGCAAGCAATTACTCGTATTCTCGTCTCACATAACACCGAGCTGTCGCCGGAATTAAAAGACAATTTATTACATTTCTTAGGTGACACAGGACGGTTGTTAACGAATTTATTCTTCTCTCTCACTAAATTGAGACGGTCATTGATATTTCCTCTCGTGAATAAAGAGGTCAAGGCCGTACTTGAAAAAACTTCGCCTACTGAACATCTTTTTGGAGACGGGTTGTCGGAAAAAATTAGGGACGCCAAGGCGTTGCAGTCCGCGAGTTCCGGCATTAAGGCCACTTACTCCACGTCCTTCAAAAAGCCGACACCAAAAAGGGGGGGGAGCAACTCGACCCCTCATACCAAAGCGTTAAACAGGCAACGCCCGGTCCGTCGGGGAGAGACGAGACAATACAAAGGGCAAATCCCGAAATCTTACAACTTCAAGGAGACGCGCTATCATC